GCCGCCCCAGTTGCCATCATAAGCAACTATATCTCACCAACCATTTTATCATTGGTGGTGCACTGTAACAAATAAAACCATGAGGAACAACTAGCATATGCTCTGCAAGCTGCATATCTAACATATGTGTATGGGCCAATGATGACATTGTGCACCATGATGTAAATGTTGCATTCTAATTTGTGAGAAAGCTGAGACATTCAGACAGTCAGCATCCTAGCTCACTGAGACTGGTGATATCAACATGACGATCAACAGGTGAGCTTAGCCTCTAAAGAGTTTGATTTACATATCGAGCTAGTACAACAGATGAGAAAAGGCAGCAATTAATTAATTAGACATAGAAATCGGTGCATCGCCTTGGTTCTTTTCTTTAATGCAAAGACATGCAGCTCAGTTTCATTTCATGTTTGCTAAAAAAAAGCACAAAGCTTACTTTTGCTAATAAAAAAGCTCAGTTGCAAAGATGAAACTCTAATTCTGTAAGCAAAATGGTTATTCTGCAACTAGATGCAAAGAAAGGATAAGAATTAGAGTTTCTTAATCCACCGAACTCCCAAGAAAGTGAATATGAGAAAGGATCCATCTTACAACTTACTTTTGCTTAGAAATGACAGCAAGGGACAGCTTAAGAATCTGTGGGTATTCAAGACATCTGCCGACATGAGGAAGAAATGACTGCGCTCTGACGCTCTGTAACCACAAAAATAATGTCAACTCAGTTATACATATTTGGAGTGTTGATATAAGAAGGAGCATCATCAATCAATCAACAGACAAACGTTTTGCTATTCAGATACTGTGCTGGGGCGCTAGGCAACAATGGACATATATTTTGGACAACTAAAGCCTACAGGGGCCAATTTATGACGTGTCTGCAAGAAAAATGCTAGCAACTGCTGATATAGCAGCAATCTTCTGATACACTGCATATGCAACAAACTTCAATCTGTGAAAGGCTGTGCGCTAAAACTAGAGCATCTTATTATTTAAATAAATAAGTATAACACAAAAAGACAGAAACTTTAGCAGATTATTCTAGACAAACACAATCCAATCCATGGAAGCTAATGTGTATCTCAGGTATTCTGCCACAAAAGAGAGACTTTGGGTTGAAAAAATGATTTATCTCATTTCATCTAGAATATAGGCATCTTGTATAAAAAAATAAGAGAAAAAATGTCCATGCAAACAAAATGGCCACACCATAACAATTGCATCTGTTAAATTGTTACTCTCAGAGTTTGTGCACTGTTGCTATCCCAGGTAGTGATGTGTGTTCTGTGCTGAAAAGTAAAAGCAGTAAACAGAAGTTTCTTTTGAAAGAGAAGTGGCAGATGAAAACAATATGTTCCTAGGTCATAGGTTTATTCCATCCAACCTTCCAATATTTATGCAATAAGCTATAAGTTGTGATGTGCATTTCCAGGAGACATCTAATGCGGATCATACACTAGCTATCATGACAAATACTATCATTTTGTTATTAAAACACAATATGAAAACTTCTAAAACAACTGTAAATGTAGTACTCAGAGATCTACCATCATACAAATTTTCAGTTTCACATTGCAATTCAGTTGAGTAGAGAAAAAACCAAGGAGAAAAGTGTGTCAATCCTAAGTCCTAACTTCTGTTTGTAGCCTTTTCTTCTATTTATTTGCTAACATAGATCTCACTCCCCTTAGAATTCATCAATAGATGGTGGTTAATTACATCAAGACAGCCACTTGCTTAATAACATTTGGCGGCAGTTTGTATATGCTCCTGAATGATTCCCTACACTTTTCCTAGCAAAAAGACTTGGTCTTCCTGAATCTTCTGCAAACATGATTACTGCTCACATTATGAAGAAGACTAACTTTAGGAGATGCCATTAGAAGAGAATGGGCCGGGTATCGCTACATCCCATCAGACTAATTCACTGAATGACAGCCTGGATTACCAACCTTCCAGCTACAAAACAGTGCAACTGATGTAGATTGACAAGAAAAAAGCCTTGATTAGGAGGAGACATTCTAAATATTTAGGCCTTGAAATATGATCTCCTAGACACTTTAATTTTGAATTATCCGGTCCTCAGTACCACATCCCACAAGCTTTTAGCACAAGGGTTGAAAATTGACCAGGCTTCCAAAAAAGATTGCACCTACCTCTTCAAAGAGAGACCAATTTTAAAACTCGCTAGTAAATGTAGCTTCTCTGAGCCTCCATTATGGTTACCCAATTTTGCAGATAACTAACGAGTAAGGTATTCCATTTGAAGAATTCAATGGAGCCGGCTATACTGACGTCTTCATGAAGAATGGATACCGACAACATCTGGTCACAATATTTGAGTTGGAATGTTCCTGTCATGCATTCATTCGTGCAGTATTTGAGGAAGCAACTGGTACAGTGGTATTACACGCTTTGATTCAATCTCCCATCTGAATGCAGCACATGCTGGATTATCTGAGCACAGAGGTACAGGTTTTGCAATGAATCAGCAGCACCACCAAAGGGTCAGGACCGTCTTAGTACCTACTTGATCACTCTCTGTTACCAAATGCCATGACTTTGAGCAAGCTAGTCCGAACGAACTCTCATTCGAAAACGTGGTACGTACAACCCTTTTGCAGAACAAACACCTGACATGTCAGGACGTTGTTTTAACCACAGCAACAGATAAAAGATGGGGATCCCCCAGCTGACACCTCTGAGCGTAAAAGATGCGGATCCCCCAGCAAAGCATTGCAGGGAATTTTGGATCACTAGCCACCGTACACCCAAAAAAGCACAAGGAAGGCGCACATGACCTCAATACGCAGCGATTACCGTGTCGGCCATACACGAACTGCGGAAGCGGAACTCCTATGGATCATCGACCCTTCTGCTAGGCATGACATCAGGTCTCGCTCGTCCCCACGAAGATTTGCAAGGACTCGAAAAAGCTAGGCTGGATATCGCAGCCCGCAATCGTGTGGCTGCAAGTAAATCCGGCGAGGAGACACAGAATCTTACGAAGGAACTCACACTGCCGACACGGCGCGGGGAGACGGTGACCTCGCACCCTTCCCCCAATCCCCATCTTGCACGGAGCCACGGACGGCCTCAGGTGAGTGGGACCCGGGTGCACGGACTGTACCGACCCCGCCTTCTGGTTCCTGCTCACTCCGATGGCGATGCCCGGAGGCCGCGGAGGGCAGCCGAGCGGCGGCCGGTCAGGGGGAGGGAGGATTCCGTGGGTCCCATCCCATGGCAACGGGCGCGTCTGGAGATGCGACAGATGGACGTCTCCTGCGATTGGAGAGGAATCATTACAGCCCAGCCCAGATACCAGCGACTTGGGCCTTGGCAAATTGCAGAGCCGACGTCGAATATTGGAGGAACCATCGATACAGCCCAGCGTTGGGTTAGTAGCAGCATGACCCGATCGGCCGACGGACTCCCAGCCCATCCGTCCCAGATCGCACGCATCCAGCCCAGCGTGAGACTGGCCCGCCCGGCCGCCGAGTAGAGCACCAGCTCGGCAGGCACCGCACGCGGCACGAGCACGACTCCAGCCGACGGGAAATCGACGGATTTGCGCTGTTTTCTTCGTGCCGTGCGCCGCGTCCACCCCGAGCAGCACGGCGGGCGTTTGCGCGTCCCGCGTTCCCGACTCCCGTTCGCCGTGCCGTGGCCCTGTTTACACGAGATCGCAGTCGCACGGCAGCGCGGGAAGAATTCCGCGCCGTGCGCGGGGCGGCGGTCCCAGCTCAGGACGGTCGCCGTCTTCCGCGTGGATCGTGCCGTGCTTCTTTCTTTTTTGTGCCCGTACTCTGTACGTACTTCTGTAGCTGTGCCTGACAAGCGACAACTGGTGATGATGGGATGAGATCACGAGGCAGGCTACTCCGTGCAACGGTGCAAGTCGTCGTCGTTGTCTTCGTGGTGGCGCCCATCTTCCACTGTCCACTCCACGAGGCGCATTAACACCCCGCACCGAATCAACACACGGGTAGATGCCCTACCCACATCGGCTCGAGATCGCCACTGCTCGCTGGCTTGCACGCCGCCTGTCCTCGAACCAAACCACAACGCTGTCTGTGTGCTCGGTCTGTCCCACGGCTTCCACGAGACCACGACGACGTGTCGCAAGGATCGAGAGAGCAACCTCAAGCAGCCGTCGAGCAATGCCCATGAGATCGATTGTTTAGGCATTACCGACGACGGCTAATGATTATCTCATTTGGTTTTGAATCCAAACCAAATTAACAAGTGTTTCTCTCACAAAAACCAAAGAATACAAATAATAGATTGATCAATTGTAATTGTGCCCTATCTCTTTTGAATCTAGATAATAGATTGGTTAATTATATCCCACTAGTTATATCAGATATAATAACAGCTAATAGGATGGAGAAATAACAACTATTTCATTAATTAGTTATGTATCAAACACCCTCCCAGCTAATACTAGTAGCTAGTTAATTGTTCGCTAGCTAATATTAGCTATGTATTATTGGCTAGCTAACTACTAATGTATCAGCTAATAGATCAAACAGGGCCTTAGGTCGTAATTGGCTTCCTATTTTAAACCTTGGACCATAATCTGACACGCGTATCAGAAGCCATTTTTCTAAGCATTTCTCCTTGAGCTATGTCAATTGGCGTGTCTATAAAACTCTTAATGAAGAAGCAAAAGATTACAGGAAAATTATCCATTTTTTCTAGTCTTCTTTAAATTTATTAAATACTACATGGAGCACAAAAAAAATAAAAAAGATTTGCTTGCCAAAGGGGCGCGGGCCCACAGGCGCAGACCATATGAACGCCACGAATCGAAACAGCTGCAACAATCCGACCGGACCCGTCCATAACTCCACCACCCCCTCCGCCTCGCCCGTCCCAGGCCCCACCCCAGCTCAGGTCCTCAGACTCCTCACGCCGCGCACGAGCCGGAGCCGCCGAGGGCGCACCCATCCGGACCCAGACAGAGCTCGCCTGCGCCTCCACCGATCGGCAAGCGGGGGGAGATGAGGGGTTCGTCGCGGAGGCCGGTGGCCGTGGTGATGGCCTGGGTGCGGCGCCAGCCGCCCAAGGTCAAGGCCTTCCTCGCCGTCGTCGCGGGGATGGCCGCGCTCGTCTTCATCCGCTTCATCGTCCACGACCACGACAACCTCTTCGTCGCCGCCGAGGCCGCGCACGCACTCGGAATCGCCGTGCTCATCTACAAGCTCACCAAGGAGAAGACCTGCGCCGGTTCGTCCCCCCGGTTCCGCCACCCCCTTCCCTCTTACCTTACTGCTAAGAAATTGCATCCCGGCGGCGCTATCTGCTCGATCCGTTGGGCTCGCTGATTTTCGATCCAGATTGCTGAAGTCATGCGTTTGTTTTTCCTTTCCTCGCGTCTATGGACTACGGTGACCGAGCATCCGGTGGTCCTCCGTTTATCAGTACTAAAGCATAGTCTCGTATTTAGTGCGAGTCGTGTTGCCTGTTTCGGTGGATTTTGTGTGGATTTCCGGCCTGATTCGTTCGAGGCAGTAGATAATTTCTCTGCTGTTTCGCTTAGGGTGTATGCATCGACAGGTCACGCTCGAGGTAATTGTTAATTTCTTAAACTGAATACTGCATGCGACTTGTGCTGTGGTGGGCATTGCAGTGGAAGGAGTTTGGTATGTGCTTGCTTTCTGGGGAGGATGTTTTTTTATGGCGGTATTCACTGGGTGAGCGTTCATTCTAACTGTTCCATGGTGATATAACTGGGTGAGCCCAAGAGGAGGGTACGAGCTTGTGCCTGCTTGATGCAATGGGTTCCTTTGCTTAAAGTCAACCATGTTCGTCTGTTCAGGAGTTGTTTGGGTTTTGGAACCACCTCGTTCTAGATGAGGCAACGTCGATCCCATGATTTTTGTGGAATGACCCCGGCACCCCGCTCCTCATCCTCTTACTAATTCTGAGAGATGAGGCTGTGATGAATCAAACCATTACATTCCACAAACCAAACAAAAAGGTGATGAGTTAGAAGTAATGGACCCCTTTTCCAACCAAATTAGTAGCCTATTCGGGCTACTTATACTTTGTTTCCAATTATGGAAATGCAATAGCATTATTGGATTTGTATGGCATATGGTTGGGAAATTCTGTGACCTGCTCTTGTCTGTGCAAATTTGGGAAGAAGCATCAGCTAGGAGGATGCCACCATCATCCCCTGGTCCACTGTGCAGAGAGTGTGGTGGCTTTAATTTCTTTTGGTACCTACATTTGTCTCATTTATGGAATTGTTGCTTTCAACACCTTTCCTGATTCACTTTTCGAAAGGATTATGTGCCTAAATGCTTTGTTAATGCAAAATCAAGGATTCATTCAGGTGTGTAAGTCTAGAAATTGTGGCATATAAAAGTAGGCAATGGACAATATTAGTGGTATGGTTCATACACATCATCATCATCATCATCATCTTGTAATTACTATATTACTTTGTATATAATGGTTGTCCTGCCGTAACAATATGTGGATGGCCTAAGAATCTATCTCCTTACATACTTTTGACATTTATGTTTAGACAAAAGACTAGATTTGAGAATATGCACTAAACTGGCATATATCAATTTATGTTGAAAATTGGTCATAAGCTCAATATTTTTATTAGTTTGTTTTCATGGTTCATGATGTTTAAATTTCTACTCATACTCTAATTCTGTACAAATTATGTATCTCTTTCAGGATTGTCACTCAAGTCTCAGGATTTGACCGCATTATTTCTGGCTGTTAGGTTGTATTGTAGTTTTGTTATGGAGTATGACATCCATACAATTCTGGATACAGCTACACTTGCAGCTACTCTTTTTGTTATTTACATGATTCGTTTCAAACTGAGGTCAACATATATGCTGGACAAAGACAACTTTGCCTTGTACTATGTGGTAAGAACAATATTAATCTCTTAACTTCAAAGCAATGAGCATCTAGGGACCTTATACTATCTTTTGCTCTGTACAGCATAACCTGTATTGTGAATATGGATCCAGAAGTTGTAGTTTCAAAATGGCTATGTGTTGTTTCACACTGCTCTGCTTGACCCAGGCTTTGTACCACCAGCAAGAGCATTTCTAGTTATATACTTTAGTCCGACATGATCAATATCGCTGCTTTGATTATATAACTTGTAGAAAGAATTTTACCTCAGATCAGAAATTGCATCTGTGCTGCCTGCTATTTTTTGGGCATTTTATCGTTTGCCTTTTTTTCTTGAAAGGAAAATGGCAAGGGAGGCCCCTGATGTGTTGTCTAAGTGTCTCCTATGGGCCACACATAGTATCTAACTACATTTCCTTTCCAGGTATTGCCTTGTGCTGTGCTAGCGCTACTTGTTCATCCTTCAACATCGCACAACATAGTGAACAGAATCTGCTGGGCCTTCTGTGTTTATTTGGAAGCAGTTTCAGTGCTGCCCCAGTTGCGCTTGATGCAAAACACCAAGGTAAATATCTAAGCATGCATGGCGTTTGAAACAATATCCAAATATCCAATAACTGTATTTATCTGATATTGTATTTCTATTCTTTTCTGCAGATTGTTGAGCCATTCACAGCTCATTATGTGTTTGCACTGGGTGTTGCAAGGTTTCTTAGCTGTGCACACTGGGTCCTTCAGGTTCTTTTCTTTCTGTCTCCCTTCCCTTTTTATTTTCTTTTAAAAGAACTACCATGCTAGTTTCATCCTTTCTTACCAAAAGTCAATTGGCCATCTATTTCTGAGGCCTAATGTTAGTAGAGTATGAACAAATGTCTTCCCCATCAATTAGACTATGGACCATATTGTTGCAGGACTTCCAAGATATCCTAGGCTAAAAATACAGTATGGAAGCACAATTAGACAAAACAGTTCAGCACATCATAGAGTATAGACGAGCAGTGATTAATGAAACAGCAAAGCATTCTTTTTTAATTTAGGTGTGATTTCCTTGTTATTGATATCATCACCTGTGTGTCCAATGCAAAATATGCTGGGAAGTACTATACTTTGTTCTACCTCATCCCATGACGTATGGTATTTTTCTCAGTATCCGCGGTTTCAGCTGAAATTTGTTACCTAGTATTTTACTGGGCATTGGATCCTTATTACTAGTATAAATTTAGGTTCGAAGGATGCTTGGATTGACATTCCTTATGAATATTTATGTACAGTATCTCCAGTTCAAGCTCTACTACTTCCTCCATTCCAAATTATAGGATGTTTTGGCTTTTCTAGATATATATAGCTTTTGCTATGCACTATATCTAGATACATAGCAAAAACAGAGCCAAAACGTCTTATAATTTGGAATAGAGGGAGTAGGAAACTTGTGGTGTTCATGAATGGAGGAACTATCCTCCTTACACGTGTTTTTTAGATGAATGAAAGCTTTAATTTGTGTTTTTGCAGAGTTCAGTCCATCTGATATCAGTTTCGATTACTCTGCTTTGTAGGTTTTGGATACCCGCGGCCGTTTGTTGACTGCTCTGGGCTATGGTTTGTGGCCTTCAATGGTGCTTCTCTCCGAAATTGTTCAGACATTCATCCTTGCAGATTTCTGCTACTACTATGTGAAGAGGTACATATGGTCTACTATTTTTTATCACTTGCGCGAAAGCATTGAGCCATTGACTAACAACCTACTTCTGGTGGCACACGCAGTGTTTTTGGTGGGCAACTGGTGCTGCGGCTTCCGTCCGGGGTGGTGTGAAAACTGCAGCGAGATAGAAAAGCATACCGTTCGTTTCTTCTCTCTTCATCATACAAAGCAACCGTCACTATGCTCCCAGTGCCCAAACTTTTCAATCCTGAAGTGAATTAGCGGAGCCCTGTTCGCTCTAGCTTTTTTTTAAGTTGTAAACTGTTTACGTGAAAGCTGTACCGATACCGTGAAATGTAGGCTGTCCATCTGACTTTTTCGTCCAGGCTAGAGTTGAAGCACGTAGGTGCTTCCACACCCGACATGTCGCATTTGCAGAATAGAGGCCAGATTCTCCCATTTCAATGACTTTATCTTTCGTTCTCGGTTTTCTGGGTGTTGTAGAAATAGGCGGGGTGAGTAGCAGTTATGGGTGTGTTTGGTTTCATGCCTTTCTTCTAGCCTGGCTAGGAAATAAGCCAGGCTAGCTTAAGCCTGCCTCTAGCAAGTCAAGATGGACTTGTTTGGTTGCACACACAGCTAAGCCTGGCTAGTAAAAAGGTCTCGCATTGATAGAGCCACCTCACCTCTTCTTTGTGCAAGGGGGGAATTTCACCACTTTGAGGCAATTCCTCGAACACCTGATGAGCAGGTCCATGGCCATCGCAGGCAGCACAACCTGGACGACGACCGGTGCGCGGCTGCGGGATCATCCATCACTGGACCGCCAGGACACATGCTATCTGCTGGTGCTATCAACTATCAAGCTCCCACTCGATGCAACGCCTGGAACGTTTCCAGGCTTCAGCATGTACAGAACACAGGATATGCAACAGATCCGATTTGACAATCTAAGAATTGGAAGAAGTCTACAGAGATACACAATCAAAATCTGAATTGCCAACGTAAAGCAGATACTATGATTTGTTTTGGGGCGTCTTAAATTGGACGTTAAGAATTCAGACCACGGGAGTTCAGAGTATTACAGAGAAACTGAAATTGCTTTTGAAAAATAAAAAGACAGGAATTGCAATACTCGTGTTTCTAATTGCACATTGGGATGTGACAATTTAGAGGAGGCGTCAAACCTTGGGGAGCAGAAGCGAGGGACTGGTGATCCAGGAGGTGGAAGATCGTGAGGCACAGCTGTCTAGGCAACCCATCCATGACTGGACCGCCGGGAGGAGCCGCAGCCGCGCGTCATGCTCCCCATCCCCGAGCACGTGCTCTGGTTCTTCATGCCGCTGTACCGGAAGGTTAGGCCGCGGTCGCCGTTGTTCCGCTCGCCCAACAGCACATCGACTTCCCCCTCCCCATCCCGGAGCTCGTGCTCTAGCATTCTAGCGGGCGGACCGCCGGCGAGCTCGAGCATGGTGCCCCGCAAGGGTGGGGGCAAGCATGGAGGTGTGCCGGAGGGAGGGAGGACGACTCGGAATCGGGAGTAGTGTTTCGAGGGGCGGGAGGTGCTCAGGTGGCGGGAGCAGGGGGCGGGTGCGGGCGTTGGCGGTGAGCGCGCTCGTCAACGTTGAGTTCGCCGCCACAACGCAGGCCTTCTCGGCGCGAGTTCCTGCCACACCGGGCGGTGAGGCGAATGTGGCACAGATGCTGGCTCGGGCTAGGCTCCACAGGAACGACTAGATCGGGCGTTCTTCCAGGGCCAGGCTATGGTGGTACGGTTGGCCAGAGTTAGGCAGGCTTTAGCCCACCTACAAGCAACTAATGTCTGGTTCGTTTAGCTGATAAGCCATGACTGAAAGTACTGTTAGCTGATTTATTATGAGAGAAAAATATTGTTCGTTGGCTGAAAAAGTACGGCTTATAAGCTAAGCGAACAGGACATAAATAGGAAAAAATGGCTCCAGAGAACAGGCGGGTAGGCTGTCCGCACCGCACAGCTCCAAACTGCCCTGAACTGTAAATATACAGTCCAGACTCCAGCACCGCACAACTCTATTTGCTCCACAATCCTTCCGTTCGCTACAGAGAATCTGCAAACCCAACGTCCATCCTCTCCACCGCAGCAACCGTTCCTCTCGTGGCAGCCCTACGAAGTGCCCACGTCCTCCCCGATGGCATCCTGGGGAAGCCGGCGGTCTCCCTCAAATCCAAGGGCATTGGGGACAGAGGGGAGGAGGAGGCAGTGCCCACCAGGGGCGGGTCAACGAAGGGGGCCGGGAAGCATCACTCACCCTGTCGGCGGCGGCGGAGAGAGTTGAGGCGGGCGCGGACGGACTTGGAGGAGAACTCTACAGTGTGGTCGCCCATTCGCCATCGACAGAGAAGGTAATCCCTATCCCTACAGTCTGTGCAGCCTCTAGATATGGAGGCGCTCGCCCGCTGTGGCCGCTGCGACCTGCCGCAGTGGCCCCGCCGGCCCCGCCGCGGTCGGCCCGTCGGCCCCACTGCGAGCCGCCACGCTCGCCCCCCGGCACCGCCGCGACGCTCGGCCTCCAGCACTGCCACCTCGCTCGCCCCCGGCACGCCTGTGTGATACTTTCTCCATGTATTCAGCCTCAGAACAAGGGAGTTCGGATTCTTGGGGAATTAAATTGGCCATGTTCTGATGAGCAGCAAATCGGTAATTTAGATATTTCATCCCACGGGTGTTCTAATCCCAAGTCAAATTTTAAACGGTTTGCCATCAATTCGGTTGATTCTGGTCTAGTGCTAAGTAATTCTTCTTCTAGTTATCTGAAACATCAGAAGCTTTGATTGATTTTATTCCTCCTGCTTGTAACATTTATTTGTATGAAATTGTTCCATGATTTGCTTATAGATTTAGAATCTTGCAGTCTTTTCTTCATGTTTTAAAATAGAGCAAGAGTTCTGCCATTCATTAAGATAAAGGGAGCAAAGATGCTATGCTAATTTAGAAATGCTAGGACCAGCACACCCGCTGCTTAAAGAGTTCGGATGTTCTTCTGCTATACTCATTGTATCATTTACTTCATGTTATTGCGGGATGAATCATAATAATTGTGATGAAGCTGGTGACGACATTACCGGTTTTGGTCGAGGTCTTCCACTGCCAGGCTTCTATGGAGGGTGGAACCCAGGGCTGCAACCATCTGCTCAACAGTACCCATTTTTCTAGGGAGGGTGGACCGCAGCTCTGAACCAAGGGTTCGTGCCACTCCCAACTCCAGCATCATCTCATGCACCCCATGCTCAAAATCAGCCTGTCGCTGCAACGGTCGAGAGTGTTGAACAAGCAGTAATGAAAGAGAGTCAGGGTGATGGGGAAGGAGCATCGATGGCAGCTGGTCGATGACACAAGGTCGTACCTAGTCGTAGCAAGTTATCCAACTTCTCCCCAAAAGAAGATGTGTTCCTTGTGAAGTCATGGTTGGAAATTAGCTGTGACCCAATTATAAACATAGGGCAGAAGAAGGTGGGGTTCTGGGCTAGGATTACAAGCCAGTACAATAAAAAGAGGGGTTCCTTTCCTGAGAGAAGTTTCAGATCGCTGCAGAGTCGTTGGGAAACTATCAAGGCTGAAGCGAGTAAATTTGCAGGGCACATGGCAAATGTTCTTCAAGACAATCCGAGTGGGATGAGTGATGGAGATAAGGTGAGGGAGACAATCTGTTATTGGTATTTGGTTTCAACTACAGTTTGCTTCATAATTCTAACATTGTGTACCCTTTTTGCAAACCTCTTTAGCTCTAGCTAACTTTGCAGACATCGAACCATACCTGTTTTTTTACATGTATTGCTGGGATTTGTTGAAGGACGAGCCTAAGTGGATGGAGCTCAACATCAGAGGGGCACGACCTGGAGACGATGATGCAATAGCCAATCACATTTCCACAGCCGCCACCAACATCGATCATGACCCGGAGACACCGTCTTCTTAGTACTCAGGGAGCAAGAGGCCTATGGGGAGGGATGCAGCGAAAAGAGAAGCTAAGAAATCCGCCTCTTCCTCCCCGTTAGATTCATCTCAGTATGTTTCAAAGTTGCAGGACCTGTCGATATAAAAGATTTCAATATGGCAGGAAGAAAATGCAAAGAAAGGCTCTCACTATGAGCAAATGGCAGCCATCGAGTCATAGAGGTACGATGAGGTGCGCCAACACAATCACCACATGGCAACAATTGAGGAAGAGAAACTACAGATCATGCATAACAAAGCTGACATACTACAAACACACGAGGAAGAGCCCATCCTCGGGATTGATCTGGACAAGTGTGCTCCGCGCCTCCGCAAGTACTATGAAAAGAAACAACAAGAGATACTGAAGAACATTGGTGCCGACGTAGACGACAGTGTAGACCCTTAAACTAGTGTTGTAATGTGTTGCATTGAGGATTGTCCTAGTTGAGGCTACCTTGTAGTGGCTGTGTTGTACTACTAATAATTGTGAACCCATGTTGCTATGATGTACCCAATTGTTATTTGCTAATTGAAAGGATCTAACAATGCCTAGAGGGGGGGTGAATAGGCGTATCTAAAAAATAACTGCAAATGCTAAGTTGAAATTTGTTAGTCAATGTCGGAAGTCCTGATAGTTTGGGTCGGAACTCCCGACGTCGTCAGAAGTTTTGGCACAAAAGTCAGAAGTCCCGACGCCTACGTGAACTACAAAAGCAGTGCCAAATTTAACTTTGCGGATAAATAATCTTACAACACCACTTTCTAGTGGTTTGGCGAAGATGTTGGCTCACTCCCTTGATGCCGAAATGCCTCCAAACCGTAGATCGAGTACAAACCCTAAAAGGAAGTTCGGGAGAGAGAGACAAGCAAATACAAGTAATCTCGAGCAAACACAACAACAAGCACACGGGACACAAAGATTTATCCTGAGGTTTGGCAACCCCACAAAGGAGCCCCAAGAGTAATAGACGCAAATCCAACTGGCTTGATGAAGAAATCAAGTGCTCAAGCTTGCCAAAGTGATTCTCTCACTTAATTCACTCTCCTTTCACTCAAAACCCTAGGGGAATCGAAGATTGGAGCAAAGGAGGGAGGAAAGATGTGCCTTTGTTGCTTGGGAGCTGTTGAACACGAAGGTTGGTGAGCTGTGAATAAGTCCATAACTGTTAGAAGTGAAGAGAGGGCTATTTATACT